ATAAATGTTGTGTTTTCATGATGCTTAAAGCTTTTTTGTTGTTGTTTTCGTGGTAATCTTGATACATTATAAACAGCTCACATTATTCATGGTTTTCCTGAAAAACATGAACATCCATATTAATGACATGACTGTACTAACAACACTCCACACCTTTAAAATGAAGGGTTATGCAAGGGCTTTATTTACCTTACTCGACAGACATTAATTTTAATTGGAAATTGCAGGAATGAGACAAAAGTGTGGGCATGCACCCCAGAGTTGTAGCTATACCCTTCTCCCCCATCATTAAGCAGAAGGGGTGCCATCTGCCTCGTACCTTTACTTAGATCTGACCTGTAATTGTTTAATGTGGAGTATTATGGCCATGCAAATGTTTTGTGATGATAACGACCAAGGTCCCCTGATGCTGCATTTGGAGAACTGTTGACTATTTTTAACTTTGCCCTCTCGGAAAGCCAGGAACCAAAGGGATTCCTGGCTTTTTGTTGTTACAAGCACGTCTTTGCTTCTTGTTTTATTTTGCATCCAACCAATGTGAGAGCTGCAGGTAAACTTGGCTCCTCCTAATGTGGGACTGTGCACATGCCTGTGAACATATGCACAAATTTCAGCAGGCAGAAATGCACCAGAAGCAATGAGCAATCGTGGTCGTAACTAGAGGGGGTTCTGACACACCCTAAAATTAAAAATTTTCAGGTGATACTAAGGTATTTACATGCCCTCACATCGACCACCGGTTGCCATAGTTAGCCGTTCTGCACACAAGAACACGCCCCGAAAAAAATTTCTGGATACAGTTCTGGAGGATGCATACTATAAGAATATACCAAAACAAACCAGAGATGTGGCTTGTAAGAATGTTAATTCAATCGTTACAACTTCAGGAAACAAAGAAATATTAGAAGCCATTGTTTGCTCCATAGAAAGCATTTATTATGAGGTCATGTCTTGTAACACTGGCCTTTGAGATTGTGGTATATAGCTGACCTGGTTTCATTTCTCTGGTACTGATAACTGTCAACTCTGGCACCATAAAGAAAGCATTTGTATCCTAAACTGACACCTAAAATGAAGGAATACGAATAATGTGGCACACTGCTCAAATTTGCCTTTCTTTTTTTGTGATTTTCTTAGAAAGTGCCTAGCCAACGATATTAGTGGAATACAATGGCATGCGAACTCATCAGTACAATAATACAGAATGCGATATTTTCCCCCTGCACTCACTACATCCAGTGGCGTGTGATTATTTCTGCTGGCTGCCTTGAAAGAGGACAGACAGACAGACAAAGAACTTTATTGGGTCCTGAGGAACGCTGCTCCTTTAGAGCAACATCGCGGGGCGCTCCCATGTAGGAACGGGGAGGCCTAGCCTCACCACCGCATCGTGGGCTCTCTGGACAGCCCGTAGTTGTGGTAGCAACTCTGAACTTCGTAAGGCAGAGTCCCAATCTTGGTCTGTGAGCCGACTTGGGCCCCGTAACGAGGGGCACTGCCAGAGCATATGTGCTAAGTCACTAACCTCACCACAATAAGGGCAAGTAAAGTCAAAAGCCTCTGAGGAGACTATGCTGAGGAAAAATAGGCTTGGATAGGACCTGGTCTGGAACATTCTAAACCCGATGGCCTGAGGTCTAGACAACTTGTTGTGCGGAGGAGCAAATGACCGCCTACTCAACTGGTAGTGTTAAGCCACTTCACTGAATGTAAGTAAAGCGTCCCTGAACATCTCACTGCCAACCTGCGGACCTACGTCCTCCCCAGCGTGGAGGGTTAGTGCGCGCGCCCGGGAGTGAGCAGTGTCATTCAGGTTTACTAGAGAGTCCAGTAGAGGTTCGAGATGTGCAGGAAACCAGGTAATGGTATGTGGAGAAAGTGTCCTATTTTCAAGTAGTTTGAATACTTCAGTACAGATGGAACCAGATGCGAAAGCCTTGACCGCTGACCTTGAGTCGGTGAAGATTTGCGATCTACTGTCATCCAAAAGGGCAAGGGCTACAGCCAACTGTTCGGCTCTTGAGGGAGTTGTGTCCCTAACTGACGCAGCATTGATAGTAGAACCCACATGATTGACGGAAATAACAGAAAACCTAGCTGAGCAACTGTACTGAGCGGCATCGACAAAACACACTGAATGAGGATCGTTCCTGATGTTCTTCAGAAGTGTGATGGCCCTAGCCCGGCGCCTTCCTACATTGTGCTGAGGATGGACGTTTCGCGGGAATGGAGAGACCTGGATGGCAGTACGCTGTTCATTCGGTAGTTGAAGACTGTGATCCTCTACGAGCACCGGACTGAGGCCTAGGACGCACAGAATCTTCCTACCAGCCGGCGTACACGACAGGCGCATTAGCTGTGCAGTCTTTTGGGCTTCAGTGATCTCATCTAGGGTGTTATGAACTCTTAGCTGCATAAGCCGTTCAGTGCTTGTTCGCACGGGGATACCCAACACCCTCTTTACGCTTTTTTGATCAGAGTTTCCAGCTTCTTCTTTTCGAATCCATACCAAGAGTGCATGGCAGCAATGTACGTTATGTGACTCATCAGGAATGCATGAAAGAGCCTCAGTAGATTGTCCTCTCTGAGTCCCCCCCTTCTGTTCAAAACCCTATTAATCAACCTGATCATGTACTTTGTCTTGGTTGAAATCTTAGCGATGGTTTGTCCGTTGTAGCCGTGCGACTCTATAATCATGCCCAGCACTCTAATAGTGTCCACTCTCGGAAGGGGGGTGCCATTTTCGGTGTGAAGTACTATGTTTACCTCTGATAAAGGCTTCAAGTTTTTTGGCCTGGCTCCTTTTCTATTGGGCCTGTATAAAAGCAGCTCCGATTTACTCGAGGAGCACCTCAGCCCTGTGCCAGCGAGGAAGAGCTCTGTCTTCCTGGAGTGCAGTCTCGACTTCCTCTTTGCTACCTCCGGGACACCAGATGGCAATATCATCAGCGTAAAGCGTATGGCTGATGCCCTTCACGTTAGACAGCAGTGGACAACTTGCGTATAGCGAAGTTGAAGAGAAGCGGAGATATCACCGCTCCTTGCGGCGTGCCTTTGGGGCGAGGATAATCTTCCCTGCCAAATTAAATTTCATATTGAGATCATCTTTCACCACTTGGAGCAAAATTGCAGCTTCGATGTGACCTTAGAAATATTAGAAACCTAGTAGGGTGAAATGCTGGATGAATATTTTACTCGAACTGTGCTAACCACAATATAGAGATTGCAATTTTATAGCCTGGTACTATGCATTGACAGGTTCAGGTTCAATTCTTCAATTATAGATTATGGCATTGCTAGACTTCAATAAATATTTTACACGATTTACATGCAAACACTGCTTAGTTACCATGAACCAGTACATGGACCTGCATTTTGCTTAGAGGACTTGTTTCATAGCATGATTTCAGCTTGTAAAAGCACATCACAACTGTCCTTGTAATTTGGTTTATGGGTGAGTAGCTCTTCAAATTTGAGTATCCCATGTATATGGATTCCTGTAAAGCAAGTCCATGTGCCTGCTTTTTGTAATAAGTGTTATCAGTTCACATGCATCACGACACAATGGTTGCCAAGGTGTGCAACAAAGGCTTTTTTTTTTAACTGCAATACCACTTACTGAGGGTGTTGAACGTAGCAAAACTGACAGCAGTTGAAAGACAAGTGCATAATAGCAGTATGCACATAAGAACAACACTAAAGCTTGTGAAATGCTTTGTGTACACTATGGCTTAGCTGAGCTAGAGGTTTGCATTGACCAGTGGCCAGCACTGTACATACAAAAACCTGCTTGTCGTACATGATAGCAGCTTGGGCTAGGCAGTACATAACGGAACGCTGTGTGCTGTCTTGTCTCCTTTGCCTTAAGCCTTGAATCAGGGCAACTTATATTTTCAACCTTAGCACAACACAAAACTTTGTGTACAGAATAAGCCAGGGACCGGTTTTAATGGGACGCAAAACAGGGTTTAGAGTGCTACTCTAGTTAGTGTACATTGCTCTAAGACGTTAAATTTAAATGACCCTATTTACTGTCCTGTTGCTTAAGCTGTTGTTCTTACCACATGTCTTAAAACAGCAAGAAAAAAAAAACTGATCTTCAAATAAAACACTGTTGTAAGAGCAGACAAAAACCGACTGTTAAAATGTTTTTAGTCACTGAACGATTTTAAAATCAATACTTTTATATTGAAGCATATTCATTATTAAATACCTAGTGTTCTGTCACACACTATGTCACTAGCTTACACCATCAACATTATTCACTAGGTAATTATGGCATGGAGCAACTAAATGGAAAAAGGCACTTTTGGCTGTTGGTTCAAGGTTATATTAACGTGGATGGAAGTGCTAATTCTGTGCTTCTCTGTGCCTCATCGCACAGCATGGAAAGAAAAAAAACATAGGTTACTTAATTTAATGTACAAGGAATTGGGTGCCCTGGCCATCGCAAAGATATGGCCAGTTGTGTTCCTGTGCGGTTGGTGCACCCTAACTATGGGGTTCTTTCATTTCCAGCGGCACTACAAAGGCTCACATGTATGCATATGCTACACTGCAAACAGCACAGAAAAGCTTGGCATGTTTTGGCGACGGCTCAAGCACTTGATTTCCTGTAATCGCTTAAAATACTGATCTCTCGTTTCTTCAAAGAACTACACTATGCATCAACAAATGTCCCGTGGCAAGGCTTCCAAGAACACTTGAATTTGTGCATACACATAATTTGCTCACAACTTTAAGAGCACATTAATTGTATATGCAAATGTGACTGCTTGCTTGGCATCAATTGTCTGCTTAGCAGAAAACCATACAGCTTCTAGGGGTGCGATATTGTAAATGTTTTATTGTAAAGACCATACAAGATTGCACCCCTGGTAAGCCAACCTAGCCATAACATAGGAAAGCAGGCTATGGGAGCACTACTTACCATCCACAGACTAACATTAACAAAATTTCTTTTGTATCATGACCCAAATGGAAGAACAATGAAAGTCCACTTTACAGATGACATATTTGCTAAGCATTTATTGGCTCATCAGATTCACAAGAGCATCTAGTAGCCGAAAAAAATCTTTACATAAAATGAGTTTCCATTTACACTTTAAAACACTGATCAATGCCAGCAGCATGCCAAGTTCACTGCCTGCAGCAAAAATATTGTGCGAATACCCCCCCCCCCCCCCCACAACACCAAACACAATTTCCCTGCAAGTGCTCGTTAACACCTTGGAATAGCATAACGCTTGCAGTATGCAACGAACACCTGCCCACGAATTGAGGCTAACTATCAACAGCAGTGTATAACACTACATTCATGCGAATGTCACACGACTACACAATTTGAACAATTTGAATGCTTCAAGCAAAGCTAGTTTCTTCACATAGCCAAATGCTTTGCGAAACACTTAGTAAAGCAGCAATACAGTTATGTTCATGCTGCCTTTCCAAGCTGAGGTGTGTGCAATGCAGAGTTTGGGAAAGGTAAGAATGAGCAGTTCTTTATTACAGCGCCCAGAGCAACATTAGACAAAACAAAAGGCCCAGTGGTCATACTGGAGAATGTGCACAGTGCACATAACCATGTTTTATCAGTGACTTAAATATAACTACACAAGCCCTTTGCAATGTAAACATTCAAACATGGCACAATCTGTGTGCGAAAAATTGCAGGCTTCATTTTTATCAGTTGGACAAGAGTGGTATCAATGCACAGCTACACTAAAGTTGCAGGAGTACACGTAAGTCCCGACAATGGACTTTACAGGGAACTGCAGGTGTAGAGGAAAAGCATAACACACTATATTGGAATGTCAGGGAAGCAAACCTAGAATTTCACGCCAATAGGTAAATTGCAAGCACAAAACTATTACACAGCTATTACACCAGATAAAGTAACCACTTAAATTTTGAGGAGTTACAAAGACCCTCACAATCTCAATATCAATGAGAATAAACAAAAGACAGCTTATTACACAGCCTAGCCTACCATTATACTACAGCAGCACAAACAAGATTCATTTCAAGAGCGTGTGACAAAAGGACAAAGAACCAAAGGGCACATTTCAAACAGACAATGGTGACCATCACATGCGAATAACCGCATAAAAAGACGAGGTATCACAATTGACCATAGTGTAACAGACAACATGAAAAAAAAAGGACCTCTCTTGTGCTTGAATCTCAATGAAGTGAGCTACTTAATCAGTAGAAAAAAATTAAAAAGAATGCAAGTGTCACACTGTACTGTGTTGCTCTTGATGTGACTAGCTTAAATCTTGCCACAGTTTGACATTACACATTCCTTTGCATGCTTACATAACCGGTACATTTCCATTTTCCTGGGACTTGTAGGAAAGGAGTGATGGAAAATACAACTGATCTGAGGTTTGATGAAAACTGCTCTGCTCATGCTAAGTACACAAACTAACAGCATAGAACAGTTACTGGCCAATAAAAAAAATAAGTGAAATAAACACATCCACAGGAAGAAACTCCAACACCAAGCTATTTAAGTACATTTCTTTTTAACAGCAGAGTAAAAAAAAAAAAAAGGATCAGTCAGACTGATGAGGCCTGAAGATGGGCACTCTAGAAGTGCTCCTGGAGAAGGTCAACTAGTATTTTGGACACTCCATCCTTGCTGCTTCGTATGGTAAGCCGATACATCTGTGCTTGCCGGTTGGGCTCAAGTCGCAGCAAAGAACCAATTTGAAGAGCACGAGTGTGGATGATGCCAGCGCAGACAAAATTGTCCGGGTTCGGGTCGATACCATCCAGGAGCTGCATGCCAAAGCCAGAGAGTTTGCTGCGGATGCCCTCATTCTCCATGGGAAAACGTGCCTTGAATATCTTCTGTTCTTCTTGACCAGGGCTACTTAGGTTCTTCCAGCGTGAGAAGAATGACTCCGAGTTCATAATTGTTGGCTCCAAAAACTTGTTAAGAAATACTGGCAGCTGTAGAGTAAACTTCTGCTGCACACCACAATAAACAAACTGCACAACCAGTCCGGGAGCTTCTGCAAAGTCCTGAACGCACTCAACATTGACCATCTGCTCAACTTGTGCTCCTGCTTCAATGGCTGGTTCCACTGGCTTCAACTGAATGCTTAGTGCCATGTTGTCAATCGTCACGTTGGGCAGGAAGCTCTGAAACTGGGATGCAGTCTTGTTCCCATAAAAGAGCCCAACACGGCCAAGATTCTGGCGAAATTCGGCCTTGACACCAATCTGTAAAAGATCATTTTCAAACAAGATGCCATTATGCTTGCACACAAATTTTTTGAGACCCTCCTCACTGGAAACCACCACAGCTGTGCCGCCCTGTGCTCCTGAAGACTGGTCTTCAAACACATCTACTAAGCAAGCTGTTGTGCCATTTGTCGATGCTGCTGGGGCAGGTGGAGCAGTCTGGTCAAGAGAAAGGCCAAGCAGGTCCATAGTTGCAGGGGCTGTGGTTCCATTTGCAGGAGCAGCACCATCAACCAACAATGGCGCTGCACGAAGGTTTTCTTTATTGCTGGCGTTAATGCCTTCAGACATGCCCGGTTTTTTGCGCTTAAGGATTGCCAGGATTGAAGACTCTCTTTCAGGAAATGGGGGCATTTCTTCCAGAACTGTTGCCAGTACATCAGGTGAAGCAATCTGGCTCAAGCTCAAGTATTCGACTGCCCGCTGCTGTAATTCTGAGTCAGCACAGCGAATGTTGCTGTTGCTACGAAGAATGTTCTGGATTTCAGTTTTAATCTCTGGGAAAAGATTGATGAATTTTACATAGGTGGTCAACAGAAGCGCTCTGGTGCCAGCAGAACAAAGATGATATTTCGAGTGCAGTAGTTGAAACTGGATCAGCGGACTGGAACGCTGATCACCAGCAATTAAGTTGCCAAACTCTCCGAGGATATAACCAGCGACCTTGACCATGTTTTCGTGGCAAGCAGGTGCTTGCAGTGCCTCAAAGACTGTCTTTGCGGCATAACCTTGCACATCCTCTCTGTTGATAACTATTTGGATGACTCGGTACCAGACCTCCTCACTGACGTAGTCCCCAGCAATGCGGATGAGGTTCAGGATGACATCGACATACCACGTGTAGTCAGAGGCATACTTTTCTGCCAGAATGGCAACCTTGAGAACCATCTCTTCGCGGATGGAGTAGTCTGCTGTTTCAAGGTAAGCCAGCATCTCTGCCACAATCTCTTCAGCGTTGGACTTGTCACACATGGCGTAAAGCAGGTCAACGGCTCGCTGACGAACGCTCACATCGCGCTCCGTCTTGAGGGCATTCACAACCGTCTCCTGGTGCTTCTTCACGGCCTCGTGGGAGAACTCCGAAGTGGCCAACAGGCAGAGGCTCTCCAAGGCCAGATACCTCAGATTAGTCTCACGATGCTGTAAAAATTGCCCTAGCTGGTTGCAGGCTCGCACAAGCAGATTCGGCTCGATGACAGCGCCTAGGCGGTCCATGTGGATGATGAGCGATATCGCCTCAAAGAGCACCGCATTCTTCGCGTTGGAATGCTGCACTTTCTTAGATTTGGGCGGCTCCTGAGCCTTGTTGAGGATGGTCTCGAGACACTCGTTGAGACGACCTCGAACACCAGGGTCGTCAGGGGGCGGATAGTTCTGCAGCAGGCGCAGAAGCTTCATGCTCAGCCAGGGAGCCGGCACGAAGTAGTACGTGTAGTCTTGAAGGTCCGTGTACGATGCTGTCACAATGCGGCTAAGCCGAGACACCGCCAAGGACACGCAGCCCCTGTACTCGTCCGGGTTCTTTTTGACCAGTGCGTCAATGAGGCTCACGGCAGCAGTAACGACGCCCATGTGCTGGTCGTTGAGTAGGTGGATGATGCGCGACGTCCATTCACCGCTGGGTGTAATGTCCGGCAGGGTACGCAACAGCCGCAGCAGGCACAGCGCGGCGCTCTGCTTCACCACGTCGATGGTGTCGCCAGACACCAGGAGCTTGGGAATCTCGCCGCCAAATGTCTCGGCCATCTCGCGGCTGCCGATATTGGCGATACACTGCAGCGCAAGGTTCACGTGGATTGGGTTGCGGGCGCACAGGTCGTTTTTGATGCTTTGAATTATGAGTCGCATCAACTCGCTGTTTTCGTTCAACAGCACAGAAATAAACAAGTAGCCTATTTGCTTCTCGGAGTACTTGTTCGAGCTGAGCAGGTTTACCGCCTCCATGTGGCCAAAGTCAATATCGTGGCCCAGAAGGAAAATGAACAGGAGCTTACACACGTACTTCTTCTTTTGGTAACCATCAAGTGTCTTGTCCCCCTTAAACTTGGAACGAATGTTTGCAAGCTCCTTATTGATGCGCTTGATCTCCGCCTCCTTGCTCTTGCAGTTTCGGATATCCGATATGAACACCGCCAGGCCACGGATGCCGTCCCCTCGCACTGCAGGCATCTTGGCGCTTAGCAAATCGATCGGTTCTTCGTTTGCTCACCTTTCTCGCTTGATCGCACAGGCGCGCGGATTCTCCAGCCTCTCAAAACGGCGCAATTACGGGAGAAAATGCACTAAGTGCAACGGTAACGTAAGAAACCCTTGCGATGGGCTCCGCGGAACAACCCCTCGAGAACGCTGCGGCGATCAGGGTTGTCTGCGCTGACCGGCGATTCCATGGTTGTTTATATATTTGCCTGAACGTTGTCCTGCAGAGAACAGCCACTGTCTCAAAAAAAGTTAGGAAATACTAACATCAATATTTTTGTTGGTAATTTTAACTAGTACGCATATGTTACTCAGCAACGCAGCTTTTTTTTTGTTTTGTGTAGAAAACTTGCGCTAAACACAACTTTTGTACTTTGTACATCAGTATAATTACTTTGCAACGTTAAATTCAAACGCAAACATTCATTTTAATATAATTACAAATATAGTTACATTGTGTGCTGTTCGCACTGTGAATACGCAACTTCACGTTCTGCAATGAAGTGGCCAAATTGACTCCGTTCAGTAAACCACGGTGTTCGGTAAATTTAGTGTGGCAAACATAGTTGTCCAGCGTGAACTCCTCTTCAATATAGTAAGTAGGTGCTCCTAATCCCTTTTGGCACAGGGCAGGCGCCAGCAGCGCCACAGGACAAAGTTGTGCGCTTCAACGCACATCCATACACACGCACACACACATCACCAGTCAGGCGCTTGCCGCGCCACCGTCAAAAAAAAAAAAAAAAAAAAAAACATTTTGTGTTTTACACGCACTTCACGCGAACACGCACTCACACGTTTTCCACTTTACTGTTCGAAGAAAGAAAGGTCTGGTAGTAAATTGCCAGTTTCGCCACCAGGGGAAACGTGCCCTCGGCCAAGTCTATCCAGTGGCATCGGCGTCGTTTAGATATTTTCTGTCGGCCCTTCGTTGCGCTGGACACTGTCGGGGTGTTTGTCCACCTGCCAGCACAGTCTGTCCCAGAGTTTTAGACGTCGCTTGGCACTCTCGGTGTGTTCGACTCGGGTGTCGACGGGATCATCTGGGAGACCCAGATATTCCGCCAGGTTTATCTTGGGTAGGTCCCTCGCTCCGAGTCGCGGGCAATCCATCAGGATATGTTGGATGGTTTCTTCCGTGGCCCCGCATAGGCGGCACGACGGGTCCGTGTCGAACAGTTCCCAATGCCGCTTCCGCGTGGGCAGTGACCCCGTCCTGGCTTGGAACAGGAGGGCGCTTTCCCGGTCGCCCCTGTAAAATGGCTCACGGTCTGGAGCCTGCTTGTATTCGAGGTATAACTGTAGGCTCCTTTTCTTTGCCGCCGACGTGCGCCACATCTCTGTGCTGGCTTCGGTTATAGTGTTTTTTGTTATTATACGCCATTCTCGTTCCGATTTTGCTTCTTCCAGTTTTGTGTTATGGCCGAATTTATTTTCCAGAGAAGCCAGTCGTTTCATCCACTGTGTTTTTATGCCCCTGTATCGAAGGTGTAGGTATATGCGCTGGCTGTAATTTGTTTCTGGTAGAAACTTTAGCCGGCCCGCATATTGTATTTTTGACCTTGCTTCGCGTGCTTCGAAAGTTGACCAGGCCAACTCCCCTGTTACTGCTGCGTTTGCTGTTGCAAAGCTGCCTCCCAGTAGCCAGCGCCCCAGTTCATTTTGGTGGCGGTCCAAACATCGCACTGTTTGGGTAGAGTACGCCAATGTGTCACCTGCGTAGGTTATTGCAGGCACGGCAAGAGTCTTCCAAAGTGTGCGGCCTACCCTGTAGGGGTTGTAGGAATGCCGTGACAGGTGCCACACCCTACCTTTTAGGCGGTTGGATTGTTTTAGGAGTAATTCTTGGTGTTTGTCAAGGTAATTCTTTTGGTCTGATATTGTTATGCCTAAATATCTGTATGTTGCTGTTTTCTTGATGGTGTTGCCTTGGATGGTGAATGTTATGTCTTTGTCATCAATGTTTATGCCCATCCATTGTGTTTTGTCAGTGTTGAATGTGAGGCAATCTTCGTGGGCTACGCGAGAGCATATGTCGAGGAGATGTTGCAGGTCCGCTGGGGATTCAGCCAATAATACGATGTCATCAGCAAATGCCAAGCATGAAATTTTAGTGTAGATTTCTTGGCGCTCAGTTGTTACGGTGGAAAGACGTAGCCCTGGTCCTTCTCTATTTACTTGTTCTAGTAGGCTGTTAATGTAAATATTGAATAATGTTGGCGATAGTGGGCACCCTTGTTTAAGTCCAATATTTTGTTGCACCTGTCTAGATTTATATTTGCCCAGTTCATACACTGCCGTACACTCTGCATATAGTGCTTTTAGTAATTGATGAAGTCTTCCTCAATATTAATTTTTTCTAGCTTCTCCCACAGTCGTGAGTGCGGCACTGAGTCATATGCTTGTTGTAGATCCAGGTATGCCAGGTATAGTTGAGATTTGTCTCTGTTTTTCATTTCTATTGCCTGGGTTAGGGTAAAGATATGGTCACTTGTCCGTCTGTTTGGGCGAAATCCATTTTGCGATTCTGACAAGATTAAGGTTTTTTCACAGTGGTTTTGTAGCCTGCGATTCAGGATTGTATTGAAGAGTTTCAGAATGCTACTCAGTATTGTTATGGGGCATAGCCTCCTATATTTATATAGAGGAGGCTATGTATGGGGCGATACGCCCCAATGTCACTTGTTTCCTTTCCCTTTCCCTTGTGAATCAGCTTTACCCGGCTTTCTTTCCAAGTTCTTGGTATTTTTCTGCTTGCCAGAATGTCGTTGAGGCAGCCGCGTAGCATTTCCTTTGCCTCTGTTTTGAATGCTTTCAGGAATTCGTTGGGTATATCATCGAGTCCTGTTGCTTTCTGGTTTTTTAGATCATTTATGCGTCTCTTTAGTTCTAGTTTAGAAATTGGTCCAGTCAGCTTTTCTTCTTCAGGTGTGCTGGTCTTGTCCTTTTTTCTACTGCTGATCTGGGGTGGTGGATCTACTGGATTGGTTTGCATATTTTTAAAATGTTTAGTTATGTGCTGTTCAATTTCTTCTTTGGTATGTAGAGGAATGCTATTTTCAGTAAGTAGTATGAGTGGATCTTCCTGAAGGGTGTCCTTTGGTTCCAGTGTCCTTATGTATGCCCAAAACTTCTGACTGTAATGGTTACGATCCTTATGCAGGTTTTCTTCTTCTTTTTGGAATTTCTGGTCTATCTTTTTGCGGCCATTTCCTTTACTTTTCTTTTTTGGGCCAGGTATTCCTTCCAAATTACCTCTTTTTCTGTCGACTCATTGGGCGTATGACGGTGCCTTCTGGATAATTCTTTGCGAATGCGAATTTCTGTCTTCAGTTCTCCATCAAACCAAGGTGTGTTTCTGGTCCTTTTTTTTTCACTAGTTTTCCCAATGGTTTCTTGTGCTACTGACAGGCATTTTTCTGCGAATTCCTCGTATGTTAGAGGTTCTGTTAATGTTGACTCGAGTTTATTGGAAAATTCATCCAGGCGCTCTTGCTCTTTCACTCGCCAGTGAGCTTTTGTAGTTTCAGGCCGGTTTACTCGATGGGGTTGATGGCGTCTGAGGCACAGTTTCATTCGGTTGTGGTCACTTCCACAGCTGTTTGTTTTGTCTTCGTCTATGTACAGAGCTGTGATGTTTATATCTTGCCTTACTACCTCTTGATTGTAAAGTATGTAGTCTATAGCAGATTTGTTAGCTCTGCGTGACCATGTGTAGGTGCCTTCACAAGCTGGATGGAGGTTTGCTATTTGTAGGTTGCATTGTTTAATTAATTTTCGGAAGCCAGCAGCATCTTTTTCGTGACCATCCAATTCTACTATGTGGCAGTTGAAATCTCCCATCAGTAGTACCGGTTGGCCTTTGTAGGTTTCTTCAATGTCTTTCTTGAGGCATGCGTAAATGCTGTCATTCCACTTTTGTTCCTCGAGGCCTGTTGCCATGTATATGACACAAATGTACAGGTCACGTGTGTCAATCTTTATTTTTATCCACATGTGTTCCTTGTCCTGGCAGTCCCCATTTACCGTGCTTCTCTTCGGTGTAATAAAACCAATGCCTCCACCCCGTTTTTGTCCTTTACTTCTGTTCTTTCCTTGCCATACTAGCCCCGGGAGCAGAGGTTGTTCGTCGTCCCGCAGGTGAGTTTCCGTTAGAGCGTAGATATCTATTTTTTGTCTGTTCACTTGGTCTTGGAGTTCAGCCCACTTGAGTTTGTTTGTTCCTTGCATGTTTAGTAGGCATATGGTGAGTTCTTTTTTCACTTCACTCTGCTTTGTTCTTCTGTTTCTTCTTTTTCTGGAAAGTGATTGACAATGATCTCTGGAGGACTGAAATTGGGGGGGGGTTGTGCGTATGGTTTTGCCTGCTTGGTTGCTTACCAGTGCCGGTTTCTCTGTCCTAGTTTGCCTAGGGCTGTTGTCATTGCTTTCAGTAGCGTTTGCACTGTCCTTTGATCTGGTCTTGTTGATCGTCTCCAGTGTTGTGGGCGCGTTGGTTGTTTGTCCCATAAAAAAGATTTAATGGCCTCACCTAGTTGGCTGCCAACCTGGTCCGCTGCCTGTTCCGAGTAGTGGATATCATCCAGGTGATCTGCGGTTAGCTGGGCGGCTGCTGACATAAACCGCACACTGGGGCCCAAGGCTGTACACGCCGTTTGAACTGCCGTGTTCCATGTTTGGCATGCTGTAGCAAATTGTTGACCCCTTGCTTTCGGTTCAGGGATGGCACTGACTATGTAGTGGTGTTTGGGTGTCTTTTGGCTCCAGTAAGTCAGTTGTTGCTTCAGGTGGTCAGTGGTCTTTTTAATGTCTGCTTTATTTAAAAGATCAGTAGTACCTACATGTATTATTAGTTGCAGCTCTGTGTTGGTGGCATTTGCCTTCTGAATTTCTCCTTCAGCTCGGTGAAGTGTTTCTTCAAGATTGGCACCAGATTTTGTAGTGATGCGTAGTCTTTGATCATGTATAGCTTTACGGAGGTGCTTTTTCAATCGATGGGCATTGGAGTCGCCTAGGACTACAGTGCGTTTGCTTTGTGGTGGATGGTCATTTGACTGCATTTGAGGATAGGGATGTTTCTGTTTATGGTCAGCGCTGAGCTGCTGCTGTTTCTGGCTGGTGTTCTCTGTTTTCAAGGGTCGGCCTTTTTTGCCCACCTGTGTCCCAGGATTGCCTTCCTCTGCTAGCTCAACTGTGTGCTCAATGTCTTCACTTATCCTGCTTGTGCCCTGTGATGGAATGTCTTCCTTCCACTGGCTGCGAAATTGCTTGTCTGAGGGGTGTTTTGGCTCTGGTGTCCCGGAGTCGTGTCGAGGAGTTGAGGTAGCCTGGTCTCCGTTTTCTTGGGCGTCCTGAGTACTGTTTGTCTGTTCGAGTTTTTTTATTTGGGTTTGGAGGGTACCAATCTCTTCCTCGAGTTTTTCACGCAAGTTGCGCTCTGTGCTCAGCAAAGTGTGTAGGTTTGCCTATCTATTTTAGCTTCCGCTTGAGCAGCTTCCCACTCGGCCTTTATTTGGCTAATTTGTTGTGAGTGTTCGGCACGCAGTTTTATTTCTTGAAGTGCGATTGAAGCCTGCATTGCTGCGAGTCTCGTGCAGAGGTTGCACGTGTATCTGCCTGCCTGGGCTTCTTGTGTGCTGGAGAACGGGGTGTCATCAATGTTTGCCCATTCTTGGCAGGTCTCACATTCTACCATTACTGTTCCGTCCGACGAGTCCTCCTCTACACGGGCACTGGTTCCTTTTGTTGGGGCACCTCGGCGAGTCCGGGTCATGTTGCTATAATTTCTCATAAAATGGTAGTGTTATTTTGTGTAGGTGTGATGTTCGATTTGTGTTGTTGTTCTGCCTCTATTTGCTATATGTTACCGATAGGCTATTCTTAAGGCTGGGCACCAGTTTCTATTTGAAATTGCCGCCTGGGAGAGTTCCGAATTTAGTTATGTTTGCCGGGACATAGGTGGCGCATGTTGTCCGTTTGCTTGTCGTGCGGGTCTCAGTGCGTTAGGCCTAGGTGTTCAGGTTTGTATTGCGCTGGGTAATATGCCGTAATGCATGTCATCACGTACCAAGTGCGTCTTGACAGGCCCGGGGTTTTCATTGGTCCGCCGATTGCATTCTTGAAGGTGGGTCGCTTCGCTTTGCCGCTGATGTTTACACGATCACCACAAGCACGCGCACACTGCAACACAACCACCACTCCACGGGGGCCAGCAGAGGTCGCAGGCGTCTATATGGGGGTGAAGCTTCTTATTTTTCCAAGTCATTTTTAAGAGACTTTAAATAGGTGCAGATCATGCCTGTCGTGCGCTTCGCACAGCAGTGTAGTTGTAGTGGTGGTTCTGTGGAAGAAAGCAAAATGCCCGTATTTCTTTCACCTTAGAGGGGACATGGCCATGCGCCAAACAACAATGCAGTGTTGCTTAACTCTGCATTTCTGTTTTACTTTCTCCAACCATACACGCATACATGCGACCCCCGGCCCCGTCACTAGATAACGGACATTTTTCTGGGAAATCTTAAGTCTTGATGAAAAGCGTGTGTACTTGAAAAAGACTTTCCTTTCAGCTGCACATATGCACGCACATATATGTAGTCCACCAATGATTGTCATTTAGGCAAAGACTCCACTTTAATGATTTATTTGTTTCATCACCAAAGGTGTTTACACCTGATTCACGGATACAAGTAAGGCCTAGACACATCTTGTCTCCGAAATTTTCACTTTCGAACAAACACACAAGTGTTTCACTTTATTTGTATTAAGTACCCAAAAACATTCATGAAAGAGAAATTCTACATTGCAATAAACGATTCTTAGGCATCCACGTTGAAACAAAGCAGAAGTTTAGCATGTTTTTAATAAGTGTTTTGTGTTTTGACCATCTCTTGATGAAAGCACCCCTATTCGTACTGCAGCGCTCCACGCGTCAGTCAGCTGTCGACATTCATCGCATGCGATGCCACGCGGGAGCCTGTGGTTGATACACTACCTGTAGTTCTCGCTACTGAAAGTAACCGAAACGTATCTCTCCTACGCATGTATTAGTGTCTGGAATGTTATCTTCCAATTCTTTTTCAGGGAATAATTTTCAGAATTGCACCATAGGTCCATGGCACAATTATTGATTGATGCGCTAACAGGTAACTATTATTTGGCTCTTATTTCCTTTGTGCAACCTGCGCTTAACTGTGGAGGGATAGCAGGCACGTTTTGTTATATGCTCGCGCAGTGTTTCACTGAACTTCATTTGGATTGGCGTTAATTGGATTAAGACATCCGACTAATGACACTGATTGGGTACTGTACTTTATTATTCATCGTCATTCATCATCATTGATAAGCCATTACGTGTATTCATTCGTGCAAGGCCATGGCACGTACGTTCGCTCTGTGCAGTAACCATAGCTTGTGTCGTTCACGTTTCAACCGCTTTTTTGGTATCGATTTTCATTTCGCTTTCAGTAAGTTACATCGTGCATTGTTTTTTTCCCATTGCCCGTATACTTGGCCTAAAGTATTTGTTTGTGCGAATGTGTTGTCCGGCTACAGCGACATTCGAAGATTGTGTTTACGTTAAATTCGCTCACGGTGTGCTTCGTAAACACACTTCGGGGACGTCATGTGTGCTTATTCATGCAGTACCGTTTAGTGATAATTTGTTGTGTTTGACCCGTATCATGGTGTTTTTTTTTTTGTCTGATACCAGAGATGGGAGAACAAACTCGGATGATTATTGTCAACGCTACGAAAGGGATATGACCATTGATAATTAAGCACCGTAAAAGAGCGGGAAAGTTGGCCTGCCAGCAGTGAAGAAAATGTAATCGACACGCGTGCTCTACAAGTGACCGCATTTTGCACGGTTCCTATCGTTGGTTTTAAATACACACATTGACATTTCGAGAGGCACGGATTACACATTGTCAAGTCAACAGAAACGTTTACAGCGCTTTTTCGGACTCCTTTGCGTGTGTGTGTATGCGCGCGTGTGTGCTTAAAATATAAAACGTCATTCGTCTTTAGCATGCATGCACGAACGTTAACCTTATTAATTTGTGCGGGTGACAGTCTCTACAAATTTATTTGTTAGGATGTCCAGCATGTTTGAAGATTGAAGAAATCGTGAAATGTTTTCCAAAAATTTTTCAACTACCTGTGCATTCAGAATCCATTCAATGCTATACCGTGGCTCGTTTCATCGTCTGGTTTATTTAATAGCTATTTGCAGCACCTATAGGTGGTGCAGCACTCCGCTGTACCAATGCACCGTGAGTGGCGACTTGTGGCCACTTCAGTTCCAACTAGCTTGCTACAAATTGTCTATGTCAGCTACACCCACGTTGTGTGCAAGTGCGTGTGCACTAAGGTGTCAGGTTTGGGCTTCCAGAAAATTAACAGTGCATGATTTTTTGGGGGTCCCAAACGAATAGAAAGGAATAAAAAAAACGTATGAAATCAATCATTTTTCGATGTGACGTAGCACAGACACGCGACAAAGTGTTTTGAAAGGGTGATTCGAGAGGCCGGCCTGCGTAAAGCTCAAAGCATAAGTCGTCACTATCGTTGTTTCTAAACTTTCTTGTCATTTTGCCTGCTTATTGTTGAGTAAACGATGGTGTTTGTGTCTGGGATGTGTTAGACGACCCCTTGCTTTGCACGCAAGTAGTCACCAAACTGCACGTGTTGCATTATTTAGTAATGCGCCGCATTTGCGCGAAGTTTTGTGTGCAGAAGTTCAGCTTCAGTTGTTGTTGCTCAGACTGCATGAGTCTATGAGTAAATTTGTCACATTCCAGCTTTGCGTGCGATATCTCTGCTGTCACCTAGCGCAATAAAACGGGGCCGCTGCTTCGATCACTTGCATGCACAGTACTCTTAAGGGCTATGGCAGTTCATGGGAAATAAATTTTAAAGTTATCATGGTCTGCAATGCATTTTGCATGGCATAGGGACTGCTTCATTAATATTGGTGTTTATGAAGTGTGGTACAGCGGGAAAACAGCAGCAATGTACAGGGGAGTATGGTACGGTGGATCTGTTGCTAGATTTGTTGATTGCTTTTCATCCATGAAATGTGGTTTGCAGGCTCGAGATCACTTTCCTGGCTGCCCCTCGGTTCCTTCAGCACAGTAAAAAAAAGATATCAGTTCACATGTGCGCAGAGTAGGAGAGATAGAAAATGAGGTTGAGTGAAAGGCAGGGAGGTTAACTAGAAGAAAATGACCATGCCAGCGCATCACTTGCTTCGTGCGGCGTACACTAATTCAGTGTTCCCGCCGGTTTCTGAAGCACAGTCACGGCCGAAAAACGGAAAAACTTTGTTCCAGTTGCGTAGTTCTTATAGTTAATAGCACAGCTTATGACACAGCAGTTCATATGCGACATTGCAAAGCACTGTCAACTACCTGACATGGCTGCGCTCACGAGCAGGCTGTTGCACAGAGCATGCCGATTCCTTTTGTTCCCTCCTGCACCACGACGCCACCAAGTCAGTGCATGTCTCCTATGAAAGCACAACTTCGATTCCACAGCACATGTTCCTCTGATGTCCCTTTAGGTTAGTCAATGAAACGTCTCTGTTGTCGACAAAACATGGGGACGCTGCGATATTTTCTGAGCCATAGTTGACCGAGGTTTGTAGCATCGTACCAGTTCGATTGCGGCGCCCTTAAGACGTCATGAACGTTGTTTCCACTTTGATAAGTTGTGCGGCATTGTCTGACAATGCATACAGCAGGCGCAGTGAGGACTAAGCCACCCAAAATACGCTGTAAAACGCAACCTAATGCAACCAGTAAGAAAACTGGGATGTTACACTGAGCGAGTGAATCTCAACACATCACAGAGCCCGGATGTGCTTCAAAGCGTAACCAAGCAAATCACTTGCTTCAGTTGCACAGTATACAACTCGGAGCACCAAAATTGCCGTGTTATTTTTTTTTCTTCTTAGTTTTCTGAATATTTAATACTTTAGAGTAAGAGAGACCTGATGCTGTACTCATAACTTCTCTTAGCATGATGTAACACTGATGGCACTTGTTTGTGCCTATGGCAGCCGGTGGTGCTGCATAGTCTTTTATGAGCTCAAGAAAACTGTGACTTTGAACGAGCATCAATAATTATAGACTGAATATTGTGCTAAAAGATTTCAGAATCGGTATGTCTAATCCTAATTGAAGCAGGAAAAAAACATGCCATTCACAGTTGCTTTGTCAAAGCTGGTGTCAAAACTTGTGTCACTTGTGCTTCTCAAATAACTTGTAGACCTCCATTCATAGCTTTCTATCCTTGCTTTATGATTCTGGCTGCACTGTCTGCATTTTCAATGGAGGCGAAAATGCTGTAGGCCCATGTACTCAGCTTTAGGTGCACGTTAGAGAACCCCAGGGGGTCTAAATTTCCGGAGCCCTCCACTACGATGTCTCTCATAATCATATGGTGGTTTTGAGATATTAAACTCGACATATCATTATTGCTTTGTGGTTCACACGATATAACAGATAGAAAAAAAAAAGTTGGAAATTCACTACTTTGCATTCTTCAAAGTTATATCTAATAAGATTTTTAAACTAATGTTATAAGTACAATCATGCTGATTATATATTCACTTGGTCACTTTCTGGTCGAGTACTTGCCTTGTGGTTTACATTTGGCTGATCAAAATTTCAGGTGATTGAGAGTACCCTAGTAACATGCAAGTAGCTGATGACATTATATTGATGAGTAATTTGGGGTTCAAATTACAATTCATGTTTACTGAATTGGACAGGGAATGCAGAAAGATAGATCTGAAAGCTAATATTCAGAAAACTAAAGTAGTGTGCAACAGTCTCGGAAGTGAACAAGAGCTTTGCAAAATGTAGCAAGACTCTGGAATACGCCTACTTAGGACAGATAGTGACGGTGGAGCCAAACCATGAAAGTGAAGTAACTATTAGAATAAGAATGGGGATAGAGCAACTTTGGCAGGCATTCTAAAATCGTAAATCGTAGTTTACCGTTATTCCTCAAGAGGATAATATACAGCTGCATCTTGCTGGTACATAGCGACGGGGCAGAAACCTGGAGGCTTTTTGTACCAAGAGGGTTCAATTTACATTGAGGTCAATGCAAGCAATAGAAAGGAAAGTGATAAGCGTTATCTCAAGGGACAAGAAAAAAGTAGTGTGGCTCAGGAAACAAACAGGTGCTGGGAACGTCCTAGTCGAATTGAGCCTACTGCATGGTAGTCGCGTATCTCGGGACAGTTAATAAGCTTGACCAGCCAGCCTCCCAGTTGGTGTAAAGCACCTAAAAAATGGAGCACATCTTAGCGCCTTTGTGGAAGGAAGAGAGAGGGTGAGACATAAAGTAGAGGTGGAGAACAGGACAAAAACGCATGCACTCTGCACCTGTCGGGGTGGTGACTGTTACGTCCCAGCTCATGCTTGGGTGCAGCTACTGGGATGGCACGCTGACAATCTTCTTAAAATACAGCCAACTGTGCAAATTATGTGAAATGAACATTTATCAGAACAGTCATGTCTTTGAGTGGAATTTTTGTGTTTATATATATATTTATTTATTTATTTTTCTTCTTCATTGTTCCTTCAAGCAAACGAGAAAGCAATGTGAAAATGGCCCGATAACATTTTTCGTGTCTTACTCTTAGAGGTGAATCTTCTTGCAAGTTATACTCTAAGGCTGTTTATTCGGACCTTCTGTTGTTGCATTGTTGGCGAAGTCACACTAAAAAAGGTCACGTGACCAGGGTGGAGAGGAAAGGTCTGATGAAAAGAGGAAAAGGGGGTCACATGATGATTAGGCAAGGTGGGGGATTCAAAGAGTGGACTGAAAGGGAGGGTTGTCACTAGATTAGGCTCGCGTAAAGTAGGTGTTTTAAAGAGTGATCATAAAGGGTGGGGGTGGCTGATGTGTTGAAGCTAGCGTGAGGTGACGATTAAACAGTGGATCGAGAGAGGAGCTGTTGCCTCTGATATGGCAGGAGGTAGTCTAGGGTGGTGACGGGTGACGACTTGCAGAAAGCAAGAAGAGTCTAGGGTAACCTATACTAGCCAGAGCCATGTAGTGCAACTGAAGACCTGAATTAGGTTAAATTAACGAAACAGTAACGAGAAGGTTTTAAGTGGGTAAAATGGAAGAAAATACTTGAAGGAACCAAATGAAAGCGGTAAAAACTACAAAGATGTGCTGTCTGCACAATAGCACCATACCACTATGTGGAAGTGCCGGGAATTTTATGGAAAATAATGTTCCACACTTGCCGCCATGGCTACTGGTGGCGCTGACTGACGCCCCCATGTTCAGTGCACATATATATCTCATAAAGTGGGCGGAGAGGTAGCCGTCATGGTAGCTCAGTGTATAGAGCATCGTACCCGTTATTTGAAAGCCGCAGGTTAGTCCTGCCCACGGCAAGTTATCTTTTTGCCCACTTTTCTTCTTTGACATTTACATTACAATTACTTCTAATAACATCTCCTATCCTTTCCTTGGCATGATTGTCTATTAGATCTCATTAATATTGTGTCTAACAAAAAAAACGAGCTCTTAAATGTACACTTCTTTCCTTTAGTGGTACTGTGGTGACAGTAGTCTGTAACCACGCCGTATTGCATGTTGCAAAAGGTGGTGTCCTTGAATTATTTTCGTTTGAGCACTTACTATTAAAATATAATGTCTTTTGAAGATGCTGCACTGGGTACCAAACTTCTCCTTCAAGAATATGCACTTGGAAGTACTGGTTAGCTGATGCGTATGAGTAAGGAATGGTATAGGTAGCCTACGTGCAAGATTTCCCTTGCATTCAGGCTCTCTGGCATCATGGTGAGGAGAACACATAGTGCATCATAGCGCCGTAACTAATAGCTTCAAAATTATGCTAAATACATTCCTAAATAGCAACTGGGGTTGGCTCTCTATATATCTTTATATGTGTAGCCGAAACTTACAAGGGAACACGTTTTGGTTAAATAACTTTGAAATTTGTTTTGTTCAGAGTGTGAAATAAGAATGACTATGCACTGAATGAATCTATCGTACACCCGTGAGCAGATGTGTAAGTACCAAGAGAACCTGTGTGCCATAATGCCTGTCTGCAACATCTACTAGCAATCCATCTTCTGTTGAGAGCATTGCTCTGGCAAAGCTGTGGCCAGGATAATGCTCTTGACAGCAGACTACACATGCTCTCAACGACCGTGTACTTTTGCTCACAGGTGTATGTGTTCTTTATCCACAGAAACTATGATCCTTGATTTTGCAACAAAATAAGGTTGACATTAGTGTTATTTAGTTGATACATGAGACAAGGAGTCTACATTTTGCAAGCATTTACCTTATCCCATTGAGCCTGTACAAAGAAGTATCATTTTATAGTTATAATGCTGCTCCCTACAGGAAATGTCCTGGATGCCCAAACAGTATTAGCTGTACAGGAACTTCTTGAGGCTAGCCAGCCAGGAGCTCAAAATGAAAGGGGTATGTACAAAAAGCTTTTTCTTCTCTTGCAAGTTTTATTCCTGAAATGTTGTGCAAGGTACATGCAAGTGACTTGAAAAGAATTTTTGGCAGATTGTGAAGGCTTCCAAAGTGTATCGATTTCATATATACATTGTTTTATACTATTACCTGTTGCTACAAATGCACTACAAGGATTTTAATTTGACTGTTTTAGTGTCATAGGGTGGAAAGAAGGCATATTGGCTTACATCGTATTTCATAATGCCGCTGTTGTGAATGGCGCATGTTTCTCCTTTTGTTGACGGTGACAAAACCTTTTCCTGCTACGCCGCTTTAGTGGGCCCCGCTTGGGGAAAGAGAGGCGTATATGAGGTGAAAAAAGTGTGCTCCGGGGGGACAAGTGGCGGCGGAGCAGAGAGTCTAAAAGAAAGAGCTGTTGAGTAAAGACGCACGGAGGGTCGCTCAGATGTTTTCCTTGTGATGTTTGGAAGTGCCTTTTTTTTTTTGTGCCTGTGAATAGTGTAAAATAAATACAGTGTACTCTTATCGAACTGTGCTCTCTGTGATCGACATCTTATACAAGGAATTCACTACATTTTTTGGTGCCGAAACTCGGGGATGGATTATTCATAGACATCCACCACATTGACCGGACCCAAGCCGTACGGCATCAATGACAGTCATGGAGATGCTGAAGAAAAAACGACGGGTGCTTCGCGCTCAAGTAACCCGCATCACTAACATCATTAATGAGGCTGAAGAAATCTTGGGAAACAAACGAACCTCTGACATCGTTACGGTAGGTGCGCTCATCAAGCATTTACTTTTTCTTCAGAAGCAACTAAGCGATGTAAACACCGCTATTGAACTGCACTTATCAGACGATGCAAAGTTCGAACAGGTGCTGGAATGCGACGATAAGATTGCCAGCTATCTCAGCTCACTGAAAGCAACAAATCGAAGTTTCATTGAGAGAGCACAATCAAGAAATCTCCCTCTGAATCGACCAGCCGTGAAGTCCGGATTCAATCTAAAAAAACAGACTTCCCAAATTACAGTTTATCAAATTCAATGGCAAAAAGGAAAAAGTGGCAGCAGTTCAAGGCAGCCATTCACAAAAACCCCGAACTGTCTAATATATACCGATTCAACTACCTCAAGGCACTTTTGTCAGGAGAAGCTGATGGAGCCATAGCAGGACTGCTGGCAATGGCTGAATGTTACGCAGATGCCATTGACATCTTGACCCAGCGGCTCGGAAACCCAACGGCACTGATTCAAGATCATATGCAAGGAGTCGTAGATGTCAAGCTCGTGACATCAGCCCAAAATGTTCACGACCTGAAACGGCTCTACGACGACCTGCCACTGCACATGCGTGGACTAAAGGCACTCGGCGTTGGGGAAGACAGCTACAACTCCATGCTCTACCCTGTGCTGTTTCAGGCACTTCCGCGAGAAATCATCCTCAAATATCATCGTTCTCAGGTGCAAACACAGCAAGAGCAGAGTACTTTATCCATGGGTTGTAGCTTTTCATCAGCCGAATCGGCAACCAAGCATTGGACGGCACTCACCACTTTATTTCCCTACTTCAGATTGTAGTTGCACTGCCACGAAAGGACACACTATTGTCGATCCGACAATTCAGTAGGTAAGCCTGCATTTCCTTTCGATTGTCAGAATGTGAGGCCCTAGCAATCGAGTTGTCCAACATTGTCCGCTGCATCATCTTTTAAAGTCGCATGTAAGATTTGTGAATCCACAGATCATGAAAGTCAGTACTGTAACTCTAATTTGAAACTGACAGAAAAAAGGCGATTCTTGCTTCCGTACATGAAGAAGGGGCACATTGCAAAACACCAAGGTCGGAATCGCATGAAAAAAGCGCAGCCGCCAACATGTTAGGTCAATGTACAATCCCACCTTTTCCAGCGCCCAAAAAGACATGAATGCCAAAATGGCAGAAAATTAACTAGTGAGCATGCACACATCAGAAGCCAATGCTGTTGGCACAACGCAAACGGTATTAATGCCAACTATCGCAGCATGGAATGAGGGAGCCAAAACGAAAAAACTTTCTCGGATCCTTTTTGACAGTACTAGCCAAAGAATCTTTGTCACTGAAGAGTGCTCGCGAAAGCTTGGTTGTAAGCTCCTTGGAACTGAAATTCTCACAACTGGTGTTTTTGGGGGACAGAAAAAACAGAACAGTTTCCGCAGAGCAGAAGTACGTCTTCTTCCAAGGGATGCCTCTAAAGAAGAGCACGTATTTGATGCTTTGAAAGGGCCATCCATATGTGAGCAAGCCATTTCTTGCCCGGACGAGCAAACAAAGGAGACCTTGCGGGAACTGTCACTGCCCCTTGGTGATGATCAAATCAGCCCATGCACTATAGATGACGTGCTCATTGGTTTTGATAGCTTCCGAGAATGCCTGACCAGCAGAACAAAGAAAGTGAGCAGCAAATTAACAGGTATCGAAACCATCTTTGGCTGGGCAGTGCAAGGGCCAACCGTATTGATGTGCAAATCAGTTAACTGTGCCCAAGCAGTCAAGTTAAAAGCATTGGTGACTGAACAGAAAACTGAGCCCATTCTTCGGCTCTTCTGGGAGCTTGAGAGTGTTAGTGTGTCTGACCCACCGACAGAGTCCCCATATATGCACTTGATAAAACACTTGAATGGATACTATAAGATGTCTGACAGATGGCATGAAGTAAAGCTTCCTTAGAGAATGTAGACCTATCGAACAACCGCTCCGTAGCAAAAAGACGGTTTTGTCTTTTGAACAAGAGGCTTGTCGAATCACTCGGCCTCATGGGCGAGTATGAGACCTAAATGCGACAACTGTTAACCGAGGGAATAACAGAGCCAGTTGCAGATGGGGTAGAAAGCGATGGTCATACCATTTTATATATGCCCAATCAGCCAATTCTTCGACAGTAGAGCAGCATGAACTTGAGGATCGTGTTTGATGCCTCGTCACACGGTGTTGACGCAAAATCAGTGAATGAAAACTTGAAAAGTGTTGTGCTTGTGTAGTGTGCATAGGTTATACAGTGCTACAAAAATACAGCTATTGACGGGACTCTTCTCACCCAATCGTACCACGCAGGCTGACCCCTTCGAGGTGGTTGGCATTGACGTTGCCGGACCTCTGTTCCTGAAAAAAAGATAAGAAAGTGAAATCATACATTTTACCTGTGCTATGGCGAGGGCCGTGCATTTTGAGCTGGTGACTGACATGAGTGCTGCCAGTTTTGTTTGGGCATTTTGCAGCTTTGTATCGCGTGGAGGACTGTGCTGGGTGTTGTATTCGGACAACGCCCAAACGTTTGGGCACGCTTCAAGAGAGCTAAAATATGTATACTTAGGGCAGGTAATAACTGCGGAGCCAAACCACGAGATTGAAGTAACTAGAAGAATAAGAATGGGGTGGAGCACATTTGGCAAGCACTCTCAAATAATGACAGGTAGATTGCCACTATCCCTCAAGAGGAAGGTATATAACAGCTGTATCTTGCCGGTACTTAGCTACGAAGCAGAAACCTGGAGACTTACAAAGAGGGTTCAGCTTAAATTGAGGATGACGCAGCGAGCAATGGAAAAAAAAATGGTAGGTGTAACTTTAAGAGACAAGAAGAGAGCAGAGTGGATTAGGGAACAAACGGGGGTTAAGGATATCATAGCTGAAATCAAGAAGAAGAAATGGACATGGGCCGGGCATGTAGCGCGTAGACAGGATAACCGCTGGTCATTAAGGGTAACTGACTGGATTCCCAGAGAACGCAAGCGGGTTAGTGGGCGACAGAAGGTTAGGTGGGTAGATGAGATTAAGAAGTTTGTGGGTATAAATTGGCAACAGCAAGCACAGGACCGGGTTAAGTGGCGGAACATGGGAGAGGCCTTTGTCTTGCAGTGGACGTAGTCAGGCTGATGATGATGATGATGATGAAGAGAGCTCGCACTTCTTTGCAAGGCTTTCTAGCCCCCTGAAATTGTAAACATTTTTGCTAATGCAAACATAGAGTGGAAATTCATCGAACATGCACTATGGGGGGACGGGGGGGGGGGGGGGGGTCAGCGGAATAACAGCTTTGAGGAAGGTTGTAGGCCACCGGTGCCTCGGCTTTGGTGAGCTTTCGACAGTACTAGCAGAAATATAGGTTGTCAAATCTCAAGTTCTAATGCATGTGCAGGACGATCCGAGCGACAGTGTCCCATTGACTCCAGCCGGTTTTCTTGCTCTCAGGCGTCTTAAGCCTTCCGTAAACAGAAACCATAACTTGAGAAACACTTCTTCCTGACATATACTTCGGAAGTGGTGAAGGCGGATACTCCACAGGTTTTGCCAGGCCTGGCGGCAGGAACTTAAGTTGGGGACATTGTATTAGTGCAAGGAAATATCCCATGCCAGCTGTGAAAACATAGTGCGATTGTTACAGTCCTTTTCGGAATGAATGAGAAGGTCCGCTCGTGTCTGGTCAGGATGCTGGAGGGCAAGCTTGTGAGGTGCTTCGTGCAGCGATTCTTTCCCGTAGAAGTTTCAGAACGTTGGAATGAGCATGCTTTTTTTGCGGGGCAGTGTCGTGAATGGTGGATATTTCTCCTTTCATTGACGGGAATACGGCGACAAAGCCTTTTCCTGCTACGCCACATCAGTGGGCCCGTTTGGGAAAAGAGGTGCCTAGGGGGAAAACAGGAATCTCCGGCGGAACAAGTGGCGGCAGAGCATAAAGTACAATAGAAATAACAATTGAGGAAAGATGTATGGACGACCGCTCAGATGTTTTTCTTGTGTTGTTCCGAAGTGCCTTCTTTAGTGCCTGTAAATGGTGTAAATAAATCCAGTGTACTCTTATCGAACTGTGCCTTCCCTGATCGACATCTTATACAAGGAACTCTCTACAGTCACCTTCACCATGTGTTACCAGCATAGAAATTTCTTCTACAGTCATTGAACAGCTTTGCCAAGATTTTTCACTTTCATTATTCAACTCTAGAATGGAATTTTATTAGAAAAGTGCTTGCCTAGTTTATTTGTAGTAAAATGCTATACTATAAAGTGTAGTTGTCGAATACGTGAATCGAACCTATGCTCTCACTGTCGGAAGCCAAACTCATTAGCACAACTCAAATAGACAAGCTATTTAGGAGCATTTTTTGTGAAAGGCAACGTTGTGTCCACAACATGCACACATTGGATGTGCATTCATGGCATGGAAAACCTTGGTTCATGAGTTTCTGAAGGTGCCAAGTACAAATGTGCATCATATGTGTACTGTTGCCAACAAAAAGATGTGGTCCCTCAATGTTGCCTGAAGTACTTGCTCCCCTCAGAAAAAAAAAATTGAAGCTTTTGTGCAGCGGTGACAGTGAGTAGATCCTGCAATACGATTCTGAAAGAGAAAGTGGCAGCTAATGTCAGCGTGAGATGTTTGGGTTTTTGCCTACTGGAGTTAAAGGGACACTAAAGGCAATTATTAAGTTGATGTTGATTGTTGAAATAGCGGTCCATAAACCTCGTAGTGTTTCATGCCAAGGAAGGGCCTATTCTGAAATAAAATCGCGTTTTAATTGTCCGTATCGGGTTAGCGCACTTCAAATTACGCGCCTCAAGAAGCAGACCGACCGGACCGACTCGCGTTGCTGTTGCCGTGCACAACGTTGCCCGGCTTTACTGCGCCAGTAGCAGCAGACGGAAAGCAGCAGGAGCCACAGCAGCAACAACGGCCATTGATCAATTTCCTGCCATTGGCTCCGAGATTGAAAACGTATTTTAGTTCAGCTGGGCCCCACTAGATGACACGACCTGTCCAATTTCACCACGGGGAAAAATTGAATTTTTGAACCACTCATTCCATTCCCCGTCAGTAACGTCCAATGCTTCTTTTTTTATTTATCAAACAAACGATTAAGCAGCATTTTATTGTGTCTCTTGATGAACGGAAGGTTCTTTATACAGTCCAGCTAGATTGATTACTAGTGATTAATTGTAGACGGTTCGTCTGATGTCATTTGGATCATTTTGAGAATGCCCTACTGTGGCGCATGTGTTCTTGTGCATTTACCTTAATTTCTCGGTAAGTGGGGCACTGTTGATAATATTGTCATTTTAGATGTTGTCATACATTGAGCTTTCACTCTGATGTAAACTGTTATTTGACTTTAGTGTTCCTTTAAGGAGGATGAATTGTGCAAGAGCTTGAAAAGAGACCAAGACAGAATGTCCTGGCATCTTATACTCTTGTACTATTCGTCCAACTTGATTATGATGTTCTGGGGTGATGAAAAGAAATATGAGCAGTGCAGCACCTTCGTGTCTTGCTATTTTTGTTTTCACCACACTCTTACTTTGGTGATAATAAAGACATGCAGTAGTTACATTTTATTGTATTGTGAGCGACTCTAGTTGCATTATATTACCAGGTAAGTTACAAGCACTTGGAAATCAATGTGAATAGCGAAGCATATAGGTGCCGCACTTGTCACATTTCTTTTTATAGGCCCAGTTCACTGCTGTAGTGCCTACTAACGCTCTTAGCCACATAGTACCAAGTAAATAGTTGAAGATGCTTGTCGCAATATGGCCGTTTATGATAGTTTATATGCTTTCTGTGAGAATTACTATAAAGGATCCTGCAGGGGTGGTGTCATCAAATATCTAGCTGGCACATTTTTTTGTACCAAACATTTCTTATTGCTTTAAGAAGCATGATAGACGCTGTAAGATTAATCTATTCTCTCTAAGTAATTTAATATCGCCTTATTAATGTGAATAACTTTCAGTTTCCGTTTCTGGGTGCCAACTTTGGCAGGGACGTCACTTCGTAGGAAGCTTGGGCAGGCGGGTCCACAAAACTGTGATAGACAGTGCTCCATCATCTGCTCTCACATACACAGGGGCAACTATCCGGATGCCTTCACCACTCACTGAAATTCTTTTATAGAGAATATTATCATGTATGGTATTCTGACATGAGCAGAATTTTTCTGGAGTACCGGCATATGATATTAACTTCTTATGATGTTTTGCACAACTGCACTTATAGGTGCTTCTTTTTTACTCTAGGTAAGTGACTGTGGGGAGAAAAATGTTTAAAATGCAATGCATTTCAAACTGTGCCCCTGCCAAGAATTTATGCCAGCAGAGAAGTAAATACATTAGATTTCTGCAACAATAATTCTGTGCTTGCCTGGTTTATTTTAGTGCCACAAGGTGGCCCCACTTATTCCTCCTCATTTTCACGGCTACAGCAGCCCGGTAGACTAAAGCAAAGTTGTGTGTGAACATACTGAACTTCTCTAATGTTGTCTTCACATGTTTGGATGATGATGAAAAGCATTTTGCGAATTGTGAGCAAGTTCAGCTACTTGGGCAACAAGCTCAGAAAAAAGTGTGTAGTTCGCAGCCCACGCTATCTTGGGTTGCCTGGTGCTTTGGAGCAGGGGATCACAACTCATAACACATCACTTTAATGTGCTCTGATATCACTAAAACTTTGGTTACGATTTGTGGTGATGTCATGTTAGTCCCCCTAGCAATGAGTCTCAATTGCTAGAATGGGTATTTAGGCCCACTTTGGAAGTGAATTTAGATATTCTAAACATTTGCTGTGCCCTTCGTTTTGAGTCTCCTTACATACAGAGGTAGCTTACAGCATGCTTTTATAGCCTGAAAATTTGATGATACCATCCCTTTAAAAGCTCTGGAATCTGAGCAATCACTGTGATGAACAGTTTGGCCAAATTTTGTAGTCGTGCATGGCATGTAGGGTTTAGAAGCAGTGGGCAGAGTTTTCATATTCATTAGTGCCCTCATATCATAAGGAGGCCCATCCTCACTCTCTTTAAAGCTGCTGGCTGCAGCTCTATTTTGTCATTTAGTAGATTGCTGCTATTGGCAAATAGCTGACATAAATCATGAGCACCGTTTGAATCAGATGCTCTTCTTACCATGGGGTGGGGCCACAAGCCAGCACCACGCTATTTAGTCAGATAAAATTACACAGTAGCAACATTGACATACCTTCCTGCCCCCTTATGTAACTGTGTAGGTTCCAGCACACCTGTCGGCAGGCAAGAAGAGAGAAGGCGCTTCAAGTCTAACTCCATTCATACTTGACAAATCAAATGAAAAAAAAATTGCAAAAATTGATTCGTGAAGCAATGAACTCTTGGTAGTGAGATCTGTTGATAATTTCCTGAACTCTTGGTAGTGAGGTCTGTTGATAATTTCCTGGAACTCTTGGTAGTGAGGTCTGTTGATAATTTCCTGGAACAGTGCTTCAGACACATTTAGAGAGAGCCTGTGCTACAGGTGGTCTGTTAAGCAATGGGATAGATGCCAAGGGATGAGAATTGCAACTGTGGATGGCTGGTGTGATGAAATTGAGAAGTTCACAGGCATAACATGGAATCAGCTCATGAAAAATATGGTCAGTCGGAGATTATTGGGAGAGGCCTTTACCCTACAGTGGGCAGAAAGAAGGCTGACAATGATGATGTGGCAGTTATAGTCGTACTGGCATGTTCATCAGTGATTGCAGTCATGCCTCCATGTATTCCCAGTGCTTATATGTATAGCCATCTCCGCACATACCCTTAAGGCAATAGACCAAAAGTTCTTTTAGTGAAATAGTTGCATCAAATATTTAAGTCACTTTAAATACTTCAAAATTTTCAAATATTCAGTTAGTGAATCCAACATAATTAAAGCACATGTAATATTCATCTTGCATTCTCGCATCTCTACCTATTTGATAATACTTGCTTTATTCATAAATTCTTGACTGGGCTCATCAGGCATGCAAAAGCAGGCCTATTTTGTGGAGAGTGGCAAGTTATCAAGGAAAAGTTCATTTCTGAGGTTGCCATTGCTTGGGCTGATTCTAAGGAAAACACAGTTGTGTTCATATAACAGCATGCACTATCTGAAGGGTTTTCTCTCCTTTTTTGTTACTTCATTGCATGAAAGTTGAGCACGCGACAAGAAGCAAAAGTAAGAATTTCTCTTGCTTGAATGTCTACAGTGGAAGTGGTTCCGGCTGCTAATGAGAGTGAAGAAGAAGGGGAAGAAGACACATTCAAATGTGGCAAGTGCAAAAGGAAGTTCACCCAGATCACTGCCTACTTTGCACACAAGAAGGAGCCATGCACAGGCAAGCTACCAACGAGCCTGTGGCACAGGCCCACTCATAGCACCTCAACCACCGTGGGCTCCATTGACCGGTTGGCAGCTGCTTCTCAGACGGTGAGTTCTTCACGAATTTCAAGCCAAGATGTGTGGCAGTGTTTATGGTATGCTTGAACGTAGCCTGCTATATTGTGCTATATTGTCATGGGGTCGTGATGTAGACAAAGGCAGCAGTTGGCATGTCCAGGGATGAAACTTTATTTGGTCAAATTTGTGGCCAGTAAATGGTAATTCAAACTGCAGCAGTGCACACTGTATGATGATAGCGGCAAGCAAAGCTTCTGCCGTCGATAAACTGATCATCGTTGGGACGCGTCGTCTTTTATACACCACGCATTGAGCTTTCCAGCCTTATCACTAGTGGTCTTGCAAGCTCCTGAGTAATCTTGACTGTTCGCATCTTGAGCGCGATTTTTACAAAACAATCTACTACAATTGTGAAGCTTCTCGCAGACTGATGATGCGCAGTCTGCGCCAAGCACTGTTGAGAGTTTTGTGGGCGTAAACCGAGTAGTATAGCAAAGTTGCATGCAACAATAAAGATAAACAATAAACAAGTTAAAGCTTCAGTACGCAGGTTCCTTAACACGCATAAAAAGGTTAAAAGAATGCCACATGCATGACCTCCGGATGTGCCTAGCGTCGCTGAAAGTTTGTTATGCCGTTGGGGACAACCTCGTGGTTCAGTTCACCGGGACATCGAGGTACCCTAAATGGTCCAAAGTATCGTCGCCGAAGTTTTTCATTAAGTCTGCGCCCGCATATCGGTGTTCAGACCCACACATGGTCACCAGGATGGTACTCCATGTGGCGTCGCCGAAGATTATAGTGACTGCTGTTGATCCTCTGCTGGTTTTCGATGCCCAGGCAGACGAGCTGTCGAGCTTTTTCGGCATTTCACAAATAAGTGGTCACGTCGAGATTGTCCTCATAGGTGGACATTGGCAGTATTGTGTTGCACATTGTTGCCAAGCTTCTTTCGTAGACGAACTTGTACAGCAACAGCTGCGTCGTTTCTTGCACTGCCGTGTTGTACACCAAGGCCTCATACAGAAGGGTGGCATCCCATGTTACTTGAAAGATATGGTGAAAACTTAAAATCGAGAAGAACAAAGAATTCAATTTCTGTCTCTTCTTTGTTCATCTCGATTTAAGGTTGCTTGCCACGTCTTTCAAGTAACGATGCACCAACCGGCCCAACATAGGGTATATTAATCATCCCATGTCTTGTGCTTGACATTGACATATATGGCCGGCATGTCAGTGATGGTCTTGTTTAGGCGCTCGTTGAAGCCATTGGTCTGTGGGGTAGTAGGGAGTGGTCTGGTTGTGGCTTGTTTGGCTGTATTTCAAAATTGCCTGAGTTAGCTCCGCAGTAAAGGCCATATCTCTGTCAGTGGTGAGGACCTCTGGGGTGCCCTAACTCGGGACGATGTATTCCAACGAAGAACTTGGTCACACGTGCTTTTAACAGGCTTAACATGCCAAAAAACCCACATCATTTATTTCTTTATCTCGTGAAAGACGCCAATTTGACAACTTCGCTTTTAACGACACCAAAGCTTAAGCAATAAACACACACGTTCTTAGGCGTACTCCTTCTGCGGGGTGCTATTTCTTATGGTCTAGGCAGCTGTGGTGAAGTGACGCAAAATTGCTTGTAAATAATGATGCTACTATTAATTATACAATATGTTATGTTAGAGCATTTACAATTCAATTTCAGGATTACAAGACACAAAGCTACAAATCACAGTAAAAGAAGACAAAAAGCGAAATTTTCCTGTTAGGGGTCCTCAAGCAATAAGGGTGTTGTGCTGCTAATTTTTAGGGTGTGGGTTCTATTCTTAGCCACGTCGGCCATATTTCGATGGGGGTGAAATGCAAAGAACACTTTTGTACTTTCATCTAGGTGCACGTTAAAGGGGTACTGACATGAAAATTTTGAGTTGTTGGTCAAGCACGTCAAATGAAAGACCAAGACCTCGAAACTTTAGAAAATGTGCTGCTAAGTGTGAGCGCACCCTGAAAAACTAATTACACTATGTTTTGAAAAGATAGTTTTGGTTGATACTGTACGCTGACATCACAAGAAGCTTCCCAACACGCTTCCTAACCTCTCCCCGTGGCTCTGCTAGTGATGCACAAGCAGCTATTTTGAATGTTTCAATGATGCCTAAGCGATCATTTTGGAAGTTTTGATTGTTGACGTCGTCAAAACTAGCCTGACCTCAATCTAGTGCCGATGTCAGTTGATGCGCTATGGGAAAATTGACAGAATAAAATATCTCATCAGCATTTGCTGAGCTGTCTCTGTATACAAGAGATTTGTATAGAAGAGTAAACTCTCCTTCAAAAATGGTGTCCGTACCGCTTTAAAAAACCCTAGGGGATCAAATTTATTGGAGTCCCTCCACATTGTCACGTCCTGTAACCATATTGTAGCTTTGGTATGTAAAACCTTAACAATTATTATTATTACTTTCTTGCTTCTTGGAACAGGTGGAAAAATTTGTTACATAAACTTCATGCATTACAGCTGACAGCTCTGCGGCAGTCCTTACCTCGAAACGCACGTGTCATTTTGAGTGAAGCTGACCTTTTGGCACTTTCAAGCTCACTGGAAGGAGCCCCCCAGATTGCTCTTGAAGAGCAAACTGGCAACAGTGGCGAAGACCCCATGGGACAAGATGTTCTGCTGTCATCAGACCTGTCAGAAGCTGCCACTTGCTCGGCCGTTGTCACTGTGTCACAGGTTCGTTAGCTTAGTTATGCAGCTCTAATTTGCACTTTTAGTCAAGGTTCAGTATTTCAGATTGCAAAATTTCGTGCTCATTTTCTCCGCTTTCATGGCAACCGCCTATACGTATCTTCTTGCATGTTTTTGTATGTGTGTACATATGTATACTCACACAGATTGTAAATTTCTGTATGTTTAAACCCCTGAAGCTAATCCCAGAGGTGGAATTGCATTATTTTGCGCCAACTGTACCTGCTGCAACAGGCTGTGCATAAACGGCAATTTCAGTGATAATTGTCGATTGGAAGTGTAAACAGCCAAATCTAGCCCGTTATTATCGCTGATCTAGCAACACTGAGCATTGGCTACAGTACATGAAGGACGCGCCCGCATCCATATCCAATGTAGTTCTATCACACAATTCGGTTCATTCATCGAGCTTGCTAGTGCTCGTCTTATCACTGTTATCGCTGTGGTTTCTCCGCAAAAGCAGTGGCACCAACATGAGTAACTGTGAATTATCTAGTAATGCAATGAAACCTCGATAATTTTTACGTGCCAGGAATGTGGCATGATAATACACAAAATGGCAGTGCTTGTGCAAGTACAAATGTGCATCTCATGTGCACTATTGCAACCAATGAACAAATACAGTACCACAGCGGATGCTGCCCAAAGTACCCACCAGAAAGCCTTTTCTTCCTTTTTTTTTGAAGAAATGAGAAATAAGGAGCGTCACACAGAGACAACTGCTAAACTTGCACGAGCGTTTACTAGGGTGAAGACTGGCTACGATACACGCGGAGTAGTACATTTGCAGCATTGCACCTGATGTGTGAAACGGAGTATAGCGGTCATAAAAACAAGAGGTTAACATCGCTTATCTCTTGTTTTTTAAATTGTTTCACTGTAAACTGTGGTGTTTAATGATGGGAACACACACACACTTTTGTGGGTGTTAAGTTTGGTAAGCTCAGTAATACTGAATGTTTAGTGAAAAACCATTAAAACTTGTATTACCAGAAATAATGCTGATTGACGGTGATGTTCGACCCTAGACAGCTGCTTTAAAATTAACTCGCTTTTTTCAAAACACACCTTTTGGTGCTCCGAACCTGCTTCAACACACCTTTCTTGTGCCAAAGCTGCTCTAAAACCGCATTATTCCTGCTCCCTGAGATGCTTCAAAACACTGAAGTCCACTTTCACCCCTGTAACCCCTTGGCTATGGCACTGCTACTTTGTAAAAACAAGAAGTTTGTGTTTGAAGTTGTCATTTCACTCTACTCCCACCATGGTGGCTTAGCAACTGTGGCACTGCACTGATAAGCGTGAGCTTTTATTTTCAATTCTCAGCCACAGTGGCTGCCTTTTTATTAGAGAAACATTGGTCTACTTTGATTTTGGAGGACATTAAAGAACACGGGACAGTCGAAATTTTCAATACAGCATGCTTCATAATCGCATCATAATTCTTTAGTGCCTAACACCACAGAGTTATTAATTTTTCTTCCTGGCAACATTTTGGAAAAACGGCATGTGTTCGCACAGCGCCACATTTGCTGAAACTGTATAGCAGCGCAAATAGTGAATTTTAGAACTGAATCAAATACAAACGTAATTCACGGGTGGAAGTGCTGTGCCAGTAGATCTCTACCAGGGTATGTCACAGCATGACGTCACCGGTGCACGTTCAAGGCGGCGGTTGGCAAAACACTCCCTCCGGTGGCTGAGTGGGGTGCAATTGCTCAGTGCTTGGGGCAAGTTATTTTTTTTTTTCTTTTTTAAAGCTTAATCTTCATCTCACAGTGGCAACATTAGCTACGGTATGTGTCAGAGAACATGTGTGGTAAAGTGCGTGATGAAATATTTGCCACTCTGGCTGGCTGTTTATCTCCGAGAAGTGAACACACATGGCGGCCTGTGCGAGGAACAGCAGCATCATCTTCGAAAATGTGCAGTGTTGACTGTGGCGTGTAGTGTGTGTTGGAAGGCATCGACAATATTGGTTCACCTTTACGAACTGTGAAACTGGGAATAGTATTGTGCACGGCGTGCGCAGTGTGAATAACGCAATGCATCCTGTTTGCGAAAACACTGGTATTTGTTGTGGGCCGGTTGCAGTAGCTGGTTGTCGATAGAACTTGACAATCTGACATTTTAGTCAAGGTTAGAATGCATTTGACGCGATCATCTGCGAGTGGGTACATCTCAGCGTATGCGCGGCGTGCATAAAAATTAAAGTGCATGATCTCCGGGTAATATATACTACTACGCGTGAGCTGTAAGCGTGTTGTAACCTTGCCGAATCTACATATACGCTTCACCACGGCTATAACTTGTATTAACGGATACCTGATACGTGTTAATGGAAACAGTGGAGATTTTCATTTCTAATATAATTTGTACTTCCACAGCTCTATCCTTATAAAGTGATAGTGCGCATTGTGTATGGGAGTACGGCGGCTTCATATGGTGGCTTTTCGTTCTCTGTAATGTCAACGCAAACTGCGGCCCATTTGCTGATGTCTTGTGAGATAGCATGTGCGTTAGTGCAAACGATTCTTATTGTCAAAGTTCCAAGTTGCTGCTCTAACGACGCAGCCTCCCCTCACGCTGCTTAACCCAACGATAGACAGGTGGCGCCTTTCTGCTTTGCTTGATGTGCTATCAACAGCATGCTTCACACACAGGGCACCTTTTGTGCTGCGGAAATGGTCGGCTTGTTTTATATCTGTTTCAGTTGCGTTCGTCACAAACACTTACGCACACATGCTTGAAAATTTGGACGCTTTCACGGGAGCTTCACGAGCCGCATAGAGACGATGTATGACAACATCTGAAGTTTTGGATGCTGAAACTCTTGCAAATCTAAACTTTTTATTAAAAGTGCATGTCTGAAAATGCATTGACAAAGCCACCACCGCTCCCGTGCCGTAGCGCATTATGAAAGTTTACTTTGCTGCCATGCTACAATGCTGTGCGATAAAGCATTCCGCTGATTCCAAAGGGCACTGGGGGATGTTGGGGTTGTGAGTGGTAGTTCAGTAGATTCAATTTCTCGTGTTTATTGTTCTTTTCAAAGATTTCAGCTTTCATTACCTTTTGGCACAGACACCCAACAGCCGGAATTCATTTGCAGCTGCTGCATTTTCGATGAAGGCGAAAATGCTGTGGGCCCGTGTGCTCAGATATGAGTGCACGTTAAAGGAGCACTGACATCAAATTTCAAGATTGAGATGTGCCCATCATTCAATCACTCGGTATGCATAGGTCTTCTTGGTTAAATTTCAATGTCGTCCATCGCGTCAAAGTTATTTTATTTCAACGTCAAACAGCGTAGAAAAGCTAAGCAGAAAAAAAAAACGAAAAATCGGCTGCCCTGCGACATCGATACTTGTGCTACGTGTTCGGTGTGAGACATTCCACAATTACCATCCTGAGTGACGATTCCCTAGTATCGATGACGTGTACGATCCGAGTGTTCTTATCGTGGCGCCGAAGCGCAGAAACGCACTCGCTAGTCACGTCTGAGATTCGTCGCATTGGTTTGAATGATTTTGTGAAATTATCGAGGTAAAAACCACCTTTAAAAGAACGCCAAAAGAAACGAGCATGATTAAACGTGTGCTTGTCGGTCAGCAAGTCGGGGAATCATTGCGAGTTGCAGGTGAGTTGCAGTTGTCTAGTTCGAAGCACGGAAAAAGCACAGTGAGGGTGTCTTTTCATATCCCGTATGTGTTGCACATCAACACGACCACAAGCTATCAAAAGTGGACAGCTTATAGTCAGATATCATCGATAACAAGTAACACGCAGGTATTGTTGAATTTTAGTTCATTTGTAGAATTTGCGTCCACGTAACAGTAGTAATACCGCGTTAACCGCGAGAGGCAGGATAAGTGGGTCCATCTGGAGGCGCAAAAAAAAACCTGGCAAGCAGGAAACGTATTCTATTTCTCCGCTGATGCTCATTCGCGATAACTATATTGCATTGACCCCTCTGCATATACCTGAATGATTTGCACGCCAAAACACACCAATATAGCTAATTGAGACACACGAGCGAACATGGCTGAAGCATGCATCCTCGGGCACCTCTGCAGTGCTGCTTGGAACGGCATCCATTTCGCAATCAATGTTCTGCAAAAGGTCGATCGAAGCAAAAATAATTCGCGACGTCGCGAATCACGGGGATTCCAAGCTCCAGACTATCGTACAGAACGCCAGTCGACACTTTGTATGGCAACAACAGCAATGCAGGTGACAAGGCATAACTGAATGTGTCCATCTAGCAGACGAAATGTTTGCAGAGCAGCTGAGCCTGACGTCACTCTTTTTTGTGGAGGTGTGGCGTGATCTGGAGGTGACTGTGAGGTAGCGCCACTGCTGATACTTTTAGCGCTAGAAATGGCAGGATTGTCCGCTGTTTTGAATAGTGCTAGATACCAGTGATATAAATCAATAAAAGTGATAGTTATTCATCCTTCAGTTGCGTATTAAGTCGCGAATCGCTGCTATGGGGTCTATAGCTAATCGCTGACGCAAAAATCTTGGCATGAGTAAATTTGATGTCAGTGCTCTCCTTTAAAGAACCCCAGGTGGTCTAATTTTCCGAAGTCCTCCACTGCGACGTCTCTCATAATCATATGGGGGTTTTAGTACTTTAAACTTCACATACCAATCAATCAGCCAGAAAACATTGTTGTAATTGATTATGCAGCATATGGACACTGATATAAGCATCTAAACAGGTTATTTCACCATAGAACATACAAAAGCTGATGGTGCAGTAGCTTCTCGTTGTTATAAGTTCTCATTCTCAATGGGTAATGAGAACTTCTCATTCTCATTCTCATTCCCCATTGTATAGTGTCAGTCATTTATGGATGGGCAGGTGTGTGGACAATGAACAGTTCCATGGAGCCTGCAGTTTTTCCAGGCGGCATGTAACTTTTAGTACTTAGACTCGAATCATCTATGATGCTACAAGCCAAAATGAACATGTAGGCTCG